TACTAACCAGCCTCTAAACCTGGTAAGACAGCTTGCTAAAGGCTGCAAAGTCAATTTTGTACTACACATGCTTCATAAAAGATGAATATAAATGCATTAGTTAGACACGGTGAGCTAAATTAGAAGGTCAGGCAGGGCTGGAAGGGCTGAAAAATCACACAACCAATGACTGTAATTACTCTTTTTTTAAGTCTATTAAGTGGTGTTGTTCTATCAAGGCTCAGGGGTATAGGACATGAAGTACAAGATAAAGTAATGTGTATTTATTACTCCCACAGGATCAATTTACTAGATATTTTCAGCTCCACGGAGCAAAATACACAAATGCAGCCTTTGTTACTTTCCTCAAACTGGCTTATTTTCTTTAAAAGCACCGCTGCTTGAAAGAAACGTGTTCACCTGGCAAGTGTCCTCCTGCCTCCATCCTTTCATTGTTGCATTTTTTTTTTTTTTAACGGTATTAAAAAGAAAAGACGGGAGCATCTGAGCTCGCAGGGATCGGTCTTACAGGTTGTTCAAACAAGTGGTTCAAGTTCCTCGTGTGCAAGTCGCAGACTTAACCTGGGAAGTGCAGCCTCGGTCGAGATGTCTGCCCACAGGCAAGCAGAGCGCAGGAATGGGGAACGGCGCATAGATCCTTGTCGCCCTGATGTATTAAAGTTTGGTCGTAGGCTCTAAATTACACCATCTGCTCTGATCATTTGCTGAGTAAATGCTGACCCACTTACAAAGAAAACTCACTGAAATGTGTACGTACGCTGCTGACCTTCAGAAAAGAAAGGGCTTCTTGCCAGCAATTTCTATATGACTCTGCCCTTCAGCTATCGGCGTGCCACTGCTCCTGAGCTCTCTCACGTCTCGGACTCTGCACGTATTCCCGGACAACCTCCCCCTACACACACACTTTATAAAGGAAGAGGGCAAAATGATCAAAGCTGCTTAAAGCATCTGGATGCAGGTCTTAACAGCACTGAAAATATTTACCGCAGCACAGGGGTTTGTTGGGGTTTTTTTGCTTAAACAACCCTCCTAAGTGCCCTAATTGTTATAAATGGAAGTAAACCATTAGTCAGATTTCCAATACAACCCATATTCTTCCAAGCCTCCCATTTACTGGGTAGAGTCTGTCAGCTACAGGCAGGATTAAACCCTGACATGGGTCTGTGCATCAGGCTATGTTGAAAGAAGAGAAACACAAGGAAGACCCCAAACCAGCTGTGTCTCGCTCAGTAGCAGGAAAGCAAGGGAATTTGAGTTTTAACTCACTTTCATGGGTTGAATTCAACCCCTTGCCCTGCCGATAGGCTTCCACACAAACCACTGACCTGACACTGAGGTTAACATTTGAGTTACTTGCCCTTGCTTCTGTTTCGAGCCTGAGATAGATACCTTGGACCAGGCAACCCAAGGTCGGAGCCTGCTTTTCCAGTGCAGAGACTAAACTTCCTCCCTCCCATGGTTGTAGCTGCTTCCATTTCTTAGGAGATGCTTTTTTCCTCAGTATGCCTTAAGGGAACAAGGACTTTAATCTCCAGCAGCAATGGTGGAGATGTTTTTATCAATGGAAAAGCAAGGATTACGCATCTTTAAAGAGACAGAAAGTGCTAGTAAATTGGGGAGGTTACAGTGCAAATAGGGTAAAAGCAATATCTGAAGCTCTGAGCAGCATCCTCCCTTCTGCTGTTCCTCCTTTGCATTTTCCCTGGGCCTCCATCCACCTTAAGGACCAAAGCCGTCTGACCCATGACTCTCCTGTGAGTTGCCAGTGAGAATTGCCTGTGGTAGACCCCTGCCAAAGCCCGGCCTGGTTTAACGACTAGGGGAAGAGCACGGCGCAGCATTCACCCGGCCCCCAAACTCACTGTGTCCTTCATTCTGCTTCTGGAGCCAGCAGACGGTGTTGGGAATTGAAGCACCAACACCTCGAATGCAGACGCTGACACGTGCCAGCCCCTGGTGCCTCCAGCCTCTGCACGCAGAATAGTAATGAGTCGTGAACTTGAGGCCCCACCTTCAAGCTCTGACACATGTAAGTGCCAAAAAACAAAGAGGAGTTTATCTTCTCCCTGCCTTCTTCTGGCTTTGTACAAGAACAGCAGCTCCAGCCACTCTTGAAATAGCAACCTGGTCACAATACTCTTTGCTATCGTATTTACACAGGTTGGGATCACACTGAAGACGTCACAAACATCATTTCCCTGCATTCAGAGACTTTAAATGCTTGTTACGAAAAAAATTGTCCCGAGGAGGAAATTAAAACATAGGGTAAGAGACACATGCTGGGTTATTTCTACAATACTTGGCTCATCTTTCCTTAACACCTTTCCCTCTAAAAGTATTTTTATAAACACCACTCTCTAAACCGACAGCCTTTGTGAAACGTTGTCATCCTCGTTCTTCAGACCAAGAAGCTAGCGACCCCGAGACACCGTGCCAGTAAGTGGCTTGCTTGGCGTGACCGTGGCAAAGCTGAGGACCGAACCCAGGAATCCTGACTCTCAGCCCCACGGGCTACCTGCTAAACACGGCGTTATCTCATTACACAGAGGAAGACATGCCAACTCCTTTAACACCTTGGAAGGCGGCGGATGAGAGGGAGGGAGTGTTAAGAAATACTGCACATGGCATAACCGATGAATTTACACCTGGGATTACTTAAACCCGAATCCAGTAGAATAGTTTGCAGCTCCAATGAAGTGAAACAAACCTGACGGCTGCAGATTTCATTCGGATCCTGTGCAAAACAGCACCACTACTACCAGATACCTACACAGCATGGTGAGGACTGAGTCTGTCAGTCAAGACAGGTTCATCCCCTTCAAGCAGACCTCTGGTCTCTTGGGCGAGTGTCTGATGGAGAAGCCCCGATTCAAGCTACTTTTCAGTGAGTGGACTTTGCTCCATGTTTGATTGTTTTTCACAAGCCAGAAATTAAAATATCCTCTGCAGTATCCCTCATGATTGAGCCTTGCAAAGGCTTTGCTGCTAGGTATCATAGTTTGATCCCTTGAGGTCATGCAGAGAAAGACCATAATAAAAAGAGAGGAGAGTCCAAGGAGGTAGATGCAGCGCTGCAAGAGCAGACGGACTTGTCAAGAGGTTGGGTTCTTCTTCCACAGGGGAATCCAACATTTTAAATGAAAACAGTGCAATGTCCCCAAAACATTTGGGCTCCAGCTCTGATAGCGGATGCTACACTGGTAGGGGACCCCGCACCTGATCTCAGAACGGCACGGCCACATCACAACACCAGGCTGGACCCCTGGAAGATCCTCTCCATGAGCGTGAGCAGCAGGAGAGAGCCCACTTCCCGCAGAAAAGGATGATCCATTGCAACATCGAATTGACTAACCTGTAATAAAAAAGTGCAGCCCCACTTTACACCCAATCTCTTACTGGAAAGTAGGAAGTGAGGCGCTCTGCTATTTGGGTGAAAGCAAACCTTGTGGTTCCTGCTTCCTTGGGTCTCGCAAATCCTGAGAGCCTCTTAGGCACTGCGCTATTGTTTTCAGCTTCTCTCAGCGGGCACATCCTTGGCTGCAGACACAAGAGATTTGTGCAGAAAAAAGGATGCTGCTAGTCTCGGGGAAGAACTACAACTTTTGCTACAACAGCATGCCGCGGGCCTGTCTCACAAGCACAGAAGGGACCAAGAGTTTCTGTAGAGGAAACAGAGCCAAGGAGAAACCGAAGCCTAGACAGCGCCTTTTCGTCTAATTTCTCTGCAGGCAGGAAAGAAGGGCAGCATGCCAATCTCAGCACCAGCACCTGCAGCCTCCCCAGTCAAAGACAACAGAGCACTAACAAGGCCTTTAAAATCACCTATCTAATCTCATTTCCGTGTCAATAAACAGAACATAATGAAATGATGAGGCTTATTAACTCTTTTCAGCTTCAAAGCATTTCATAGGCGCTATCTAATCAATGTTCACAGCAGACCCCGAGCGTCCTCTCTTCATTGTTCAGGAAACTGAGGAAGAAAGGTCAAGTTATCTACCCAGGGTGCTGGACTGCAAGATGGGCCAGGGGGCCCCACTCCTCCGGCTTTCTCCTTGCAGTCCTCCCAGTGACTTAGATGGAGGCTGGGTTGAGAACGAGGCATTCATCAACCCTCCAGTTACAGTCCGTAGTACCCGTTTCAATGCTGTTTGACCTGCGGCTAAGCAGCAGCCGGCACATGCCCGCAATGCCTGGGGCTCCACAGATTTCATCCAGGGCAGAACTCTCAGAATTAAACTTTGCAAGGTCTTACCGTGAAACCAGAAAAGGAAGGAAATGTCTGCCTATAGAAGCACCTGCAAACCACCTGCCTTCTGGAGTCACCAAGGAAAAGTTGCCTTGCTGGGGTAAAGCTCTTCTGCAGCAACCCACAAACAGCACATGCCATGTGGGCATGGGCACGGTGCAGGCCGTGTGGGATCGGAGCTCCAGTGAAGGCGGGTTTGTTGCATGTCTACAGGTGCACGTTTACTGCACAGTAACCAAAATTACTGCATAGTACAGGTGTGTGTCTACACATGCACACCCATACTGTGCAGTAAATATGGTGACTTATGCCGACTTGAGCATAAATTTGATACCTGCATCATGCAGGTATCAAATTTATGCCCAATTAGTTACTGCACAGTAACACACGTGTAGATGCACTACTGTGGAGTAACACTGTGTATGGATTAACTTGAGACTAACTTAAGTCCCAAGTCAGTCCAAACATACCATTAATGTGCTTTAATGCCTGCACATGTAGATGCCATGCTATTCCCCTAGTGTGTAGTAACTTATTGGGCAGAAAATTTAAGCTGGCATAAATACACGTGTAGACATGCGCTATGTCAGCTCCATCCATGTCAGGTATTAGACCAGGACATTACATTAATTAACTTGACTTCATGGCTTTTGGTACAAAGCAAACGTGCTTCTTTTCAAACAAAACCCATCAAAGCAGCCAGCTTTGTTATACTTTAATGAAGAAATAAATAAATAGGAAATGTTGTGCTGACCTTTGGCAAGCGCTCGGGATCACCAGGGTGTCGTGGAATAACCTTCTGTAACCTCTGGAAGCCGTAGTCAATGGTGGGTTCGTTCAGAGCTGAAACAACAACAAACAACGTCAGGAGATGAGAAATGCAAAGCAAGGTAGGGCTTAGCTGTGCCGCGCGACAACCATCAATGCACTGCACGGCCAAGACGTGATCACACATCGCGCCATTTTAACTTGAGATCAGCCATAACTCTGAAATCTGGGTTCAAGCACAGTCGACGGTAGATGTGAGACTTTGGTGTAAAATGAAAGTAAAACCTTCCAGCTCAAGTCCGTGTGACAAGGGGGCAAACTTTTGGAGCTTTGTAAACAGCTCCCAAACAAGAGGCAATTACCATGTCTGAATGAAATCCACTTGATAAATGCTTTGCACCCCGTGTTTCATGTTTTTCTGTCTTCACATTATAAGAAAAGTCCTTTTAGATTGGAGACAAGAGGACAAAGCAGAAGCAAGGCACTCATGCCAGACTATGTATTTGATGCCACTGGCATGCAGTGTTCACGTATGTTTTTTTCGGCGAACTAGGGATGAAGCGATGTACTTTTTGTCACTGGCCAGGGCTCAATTCTGTATCCACTAAAATGAAGTCTCTTGCAAAATCCTCACTGACTTCAAAAGCCATATCACCAATAATGGAAAAAATAACTACAAGGGTGCCTCTTTTTAAGCTTTTTACATTTTGCCTTTTTTTTTCTTTTTTTATCCCAGTTATTTTCAAGACAAAAGGCAAGGGAAGTGGAGAAAGGGTGGAAAGGAGAGATTTTAATTGTTGGGGCAATGTAGGGTTCACAACAGGGAGAAAGGCCCAGATTCTGCACAACTAAGCATTTTCTTAAGTCCATCTCTCTTAGCAAATACTTACGCTGCTGCCTAATGAGGATGACAGAGAGACCTAAATTCACACTTAAAGCTGCACATGTGTTTAAACTTTTTAGGACATAAGGGACCCCTTGTTAGACTCGAGGCACCCCCCAGAAAAAGCCAACTGTTCACTTTTTACTACAGAGAGACAACAGAGGTATTCTTCTGCTGCAAAGGATTCGGAAAGACCACAACAGGTCAGAATGGTTTTAACACTAGATTTCTATTTGAGATCTCTGGTTTTATTTTGTGAATCATGTTTGCAAACCTCACAGTGCAAACACTGTCCTGCAGCACCCTTGAACAGATCTCGAGGCATCCCGGAGTGCTTTGGCGCCGGGTTGAGAGTCATCGATTTAAGCACTGTGCTGAACCGGAGCCAGAGGCAGACGTTCTCAGGCCTCGCTAAACAGCTGCATCAATGTATCTTGATGTTTTCCTGCCAAAATGTGCATAAAAATGTTTATATGCTCTTTTTTTTCCCCTAAAAAGATATGTGCTCAGGTCAAACATTTCATGAATTAGAATAAACTCTGTCCAACTCATTCATCTGATAAAAAATAGGAAAATCGTCCCAAATATTTAGCTGACATCTTCAACCAAAATGTTTTGGGGGTTTGTTGGGGGGTTTTTTCTTCTTATTTATTTGTTTATTTATTTATTTTTGTTTGAATCAATATTCTCCGGTTTACTTTAATGTGATTTTTTTAAAAGTCAAAACTCCAACACAAAACAAAATGTTTAACTATATGGGGAGGTTTTTCTTTTCATTTGGATGGGAAAATCTGAAAGTTTTCATTTTCAGGGAGGCCCAAAACTTTTTTCTTTTTTTTTTTTATGTATGTGTTTCACTTAGATATTTCAGTTCAGGCAATGAAATGCAAAATTGACTACTTTCCATAGCTTTGTTTACCACCAAATTGTGAACGTAGCTTGCAGGATCCTTTTACTACAATGATGTACTTTGGACTAGATTGCCATCTAATTCATTTGAAGAGGGTCACATTCTACCAGGGCTCTTCACATCGAGAAGTACTGTGCACATAATGCAGTGACCTATCAGCTCACTCTCGTGGCAGAGAACAGAAATATTCAAACTAGGTTAGACTGTTAAAAATAGGATCTCTCCTTAAAACCGGTAAATCTGGCCACGTTCTGCCAGTCTTTCCTTTTATGCGGTAGGTTATGGATTGCACTAAACCCACACCTACACACCACAAAGCAGTACCACTGATCCAATTTTAGCCAAACCACATTTTTTCACTCTTTCCCAGCTCAGCCCAGTCATTAAGCTAATTTAGGAAGCAAACTGTTCGATTGCTCTTAATTCATTATATTTTTGGCAACTGCATCTCTACAGCGGGTGCTTGTTTGTGCAACTCAGAGGCCATTTTCTGGCACCATCGCCTTGAATAGCTCCTGTCTCCATGAGTCTCCCATTGATGCCAATGCAACTACAGTCAGAGCAAGGTGGTGGGACAAACGCTGGCTGTCAGTGAAGAAACACATGTATTAGCTACAGTTGGACAGACTACAAGCAGAAACAGGATTTGTTTTTTCCTCATTGTAATAGGAATCTTCTGAGTCTATCCCTGAAATAACTCTTGCATCAATGTTCAAATATCAGACCAGAGGTCTTTTAATGGAAGATATTCTCAGAAGATGGGACCTAAAATACCAGAGCAGCCCCCAACATATTCTGGTACAGGCATAGCATCCATTTGGTGTTGCTGGACTGATATGCAGGAATATCTAAGTATATTAGAATAACAGAAAATGAGGGTTGAAGGGACCTCAGGAGTCACATCTAGTCCAACCCCTGCTCAGAGCAGGACCAGCCCCAACTACATCATCCCAGATAAAGCTTTGTCTACCCGGGTCTTCAAAACCTCCAAGGATGGAGACTGCACCACCTCTCTAGTTAACCTGGTGCAGTGCTCCACCACCTTCCTCGGCAGAAAATTCATCCTAATATTCAACTTCAACCTCCCTTGCTGCAACTTGAGCCCATTGCTCAAATTGTCCACGCATGCCCGTAAGTTTGTAGAAACTACAAACACAGGCACAAAGAACCTATTTTTAAATCACTAATACCATTATCTTGCAATTTTCTTATAATGCCCTTTATGGAGTATACAATACATCCCTGTTAAAAACTTTCAGTCTTCTGACAACTTACTGTTTGCCTTTATTAAAAATTAATATCTGGGTGCTGAGGCAATCGGATGTCCTACAATTCTAATTCAGTGTTGTTTTGTAATTGTGTTAAAGATTTTAGCTCAAGCTTTTCCATCAAACACCTTCCCTCTGTAATTTACTCTTGGTTTTGCTCCTTGTCTCTTTACATCTTCTGGGAAAGTAATTATGGTATACTGGGATATTATAAATGGAGACCAGTTCTGACATCTCCTTGAGATGTAGCAGTCATTTGCTTGCATCTTCCAACACTTTTCAACACATTTGAAATCCACAGACTATTGCCTGTAAAGTGTATTTTTTTCAGATGACCCATAAAAAAGAATTGCAACTCTTTACTCCTAGGAGGAGCTGAGCATCTTCTAGGAGGTCCCGTGCCCTCTCCACTCCCACTGATTTCAGTGATGAGAGAGGGTGTTCAGGCACGTCTCAGGATGGGGTCCTTAGCAGCAGGTACCAACTGCCCCCTCTTTTCACTCTATAACAATCTGAATCTCGTTATCTCCGACCCAATTGAAAACAACCTGAAATTGCCTTATGTATCCATAGATTTGGCTACAGCACTCCCGTGCTGTTCTGCAGATTTAGGCCAGTGAACTCATTTCACTTACTTTTGGGGCCAACATTTAAACCAGAGTTCAACTGAGACACTCAACCACAGATGTAAGGACCAAACCTGCTCCCACTGAAAAATCTCAGAGAAGCTGTGGACTCTCCATCTCTGCAATTTCTCACGAGCAGGTTGGGCAGATACTTGGCTGGGATGAGGGAGCAGGGGGCTGAAGTAGATGTCCTCATGAGGCCCCTTCCAGCCCGACTTGCCAATGATCCTACAATCTCATTTACAGCAGCAAAACACCCAGAGGAATGACATCCCGTCCAGTAGTGAATGCAGGAAATCAGATCCTGGCCTAATGGAAGTCTTGCCTCTACCTTTAAGGGGAGCATCCTAAGTCCCCCACTTCCAAAGCCCTAATGCAAAATGTTTTTCGCCCATAATAACAACTGTTTTCAGACTGCGCAACAAAGCCAGCATTTGGGTTCTTGACACCCATCCATACATTAAAAACAAGTTAACACGTATTGTATTTAAAATGCATTCCCACTACCCTAAATTTTAAAAGTACTATTGGAAGTACTACCAACTTTAAAAAACTGTATTAAATTCAAATAGGTCCCAAGGCTAATGGAAGCAATTTGTATACCAACCCAAACTGACTGGCCTACTTTTCAAAATACAGGTATGATAATCTTGTGGTTTTAAAAGGACATTTAAATTGAAAGACTGTGAATTTAGTACATAATTATACCAATAGAACCCTTTAACTTGTCAACTTGTAAATCTAAAAGGCTATCAATCATTTCTAAAGAGGAAATAAACCTTAAAATTCTTTGATTGACAGTGCTTACTTTTTATGTAAAAAAAAAAAAAAGAAAGAAAAAAAAGTGGAGTAAAGTGGCCAGAAATCCATTTACAAAAGTACATTGTTTTACATAGGTGAGTAAAAAGCCAATAATTACACTTCCAAAAGACATATAAATCAAAGTAAGTACTTTTCCTTCACTTACATATTTTAAGTTGCAGTAAACTTCAGGTAACTTTTTATTAAAATACTTCTCCAAATGTAATGCTTCTTGAAGCTGTTAATAGAGTAGCATTTTCATTTAAGCTAATATAATCATTTTTTCCAAATACGAGATTTAAGCCATTTTTCTCCCTTCCAAACAATAAACTTTCATCCTGTCTCTTGTGTGAATTAACTAAAATTACACCCAGGTGTACAAAATCTGTCTATCTATACCAATGTGTGAGTTAAGGCACAATATTTATTATTCTTCCCATTTTATGAATTACTTCTTAAACCCTTGAGGAAGAACTTTCTTTCGAATTAGACTAACAGAATAAGCCGCAATGCTCTTTATACAGCAAATCTGAAGCCATAACTCATAAAATCTAAGGCTTTTAATCAAAAAATGCATAACGTCTATA